GGGTAAGTGGAAATCATGGACATAAGGTCTAAGGTAGTGGATGAACATCTGAAGAAGGTGGATCTGGAAATAGCAGATTTGGGGACAACCTTCAAAGCTATTACCAGCAGACTAGAAAGCAAGCTGGAGTCTACTGATCAAACTCTTCAGGCATTGAGTAATAGGCATGAAAAAATTGTAAATATCTACTAGATATGAATAAAAAATTAGAAAATGGTGGCTAGGATGGCTTAATTATCTGCTAATCTTAGAGAAGAACAAAAAAATAAGGGAATAGATGGGTCAGTAACCTGAGATCCGGTAATGTGTTATCACTGTAAGGATCTAGTGAGCAAGACTTCAGCAACCGTACTACGGGTGACCTCAGGGGAGGCACCGAACTTCCTAATATTGATTTTCCTCATTTTGGAGGAGAGGGACCTAGGGAATGGCTTAGAAAAGCTGGGAAGTGTTTTCAATTTCTTCACATCCCAGATGATTTGAGATTGGGTATTGCTGAAATGTACCTGAAAGGTAAAGCGGACATTTGGTTTGATGGTTTCCTTGTGAGCCATCCTAATGCAGATTGGGGAATGTTCTTTGAAGATCTCCCTAAAAGGTTTTCTGAAAATACAGGGGAAGAAGTGGGTGTTGAGGGGAATATTGAAATTATGGTTTCTCATAATGAAAAAGTGGAGAATGAAGAAAAATTAGTGGGTGAGGAGCATGGATCGTGTAGGAGATCTTGTTTGGAGTAAAATTAGGAGTTAGCCATTTTGGTCGGGACAAATTCATAATCCATTGGATGCTTCTGCTGAAGGTGAAGATGAAGTCCAAGGGCAAGGAGAGATCGAAATTGAGAGCGAGGGTGAACTACAAGATGTTAATGTTTAGCAGGGTGAGAGTCATGACTTTAAAGATGGAAAACATATTTTGGTTGGTAACTCGAAGTTGCTGACTGAAAATCAAGGGCCTATACCAAGCCTTGTAGAGAAATTTTTGGTAGAATTGAAAGAAAGTGCCCGAATGATGATAATGATCTAATTGGTGTTCTTGGCCCAGATACATTGAAGAGAGAAGCTGCTCTTGTAGTAGAGGATCTCATGAAAGTTAGCGTGAATCCTATTATGGTTACTGGTGATAATTGGAGAACTGCTCAGGTTGTTGTTAAGGAGGTTGGCATTATAGATGTTAGGGCAAAAGTGTTGCCTATAGGAAAAGCTCATGTTATTCTATCATTCCAGAAAGGTGGAAAAATTGTTGGAGAAGGAGAAATTAATGCCTTAGTGATTCAACCTGGTTATGCATTTTAAGTGCTTCACGATTCAAAGATGCCTGTAGATGAATATGTATTTCAGAATTAGATTGAAAAAGATGAAAATAGACCCTTTGTAAATGAAGAGAAAAATTTTGAGGAGGAACTGAAGCCAAATGATTTGATTCCCGATGAAGATACCACATATGAGTCTGAAGAAGAGCACAATAAGGCATATGCCATCTTGCACTACTTGCATAATCCAAGGGTAGTGAAGAGAATGGTGCAGTCCACTCAAGCAGTTCTAGTTGTTTCTTCAACAGCATCTCAAAGTTCTCAGCCATCACTTCTGGGTCCTTCCTTGTCGCCACCACTTTATTATGGTGGAAGTCTACAATTAGGAATGGAATTCACTCAAGTTAGAAGCTTGAAGCAAACACATAGAGGATTTCCATGGATGCCTGGTTTACCTAAGAATACATCATGAATACATCCTCTAGGACCATCCCCGTCCCTTGGTCAGATGGGTCCTTGCAATCAACCTCCTCAATTGCTATCAATCAGCCTCGAAATGGAGAACGCATTACTTCAACAATTATGGTCCCACTTTGTGAACATTGAGGACAAAGTTAATTTAAGGGGAAGGGTTGTCATGTAAAGAGCTAGTGAAGACGAAGAAGGACGGAAGAAGGAAAAGAAGAGAAGGAAGGAGCCAACCAAACTTAACTGGAGCAAATGAATTGAAGATGACGTCGTTTGGATTAAGTAGAAACAGTTCCGTTTTAATTGAAATTCTACTAAGTTAGTTAAAAAATGCCTTTTGCATTTTGTCTAAAAAAATGCATTTTCTCGATTTTGGAAGCCTATAGATACAAAATTGGGGGAAGATGAATTTAGTGTGTAATCTGATCATTTGTGAAATATGTTGAAATCGTTCAACAGCTTTTCTCATCTCCTTAATTTTGTCATTTTCCCTTATCCCTAGTTCTATTTTCATTTCAATTTGTTGCAGTGCTGCTGAATTCAGCTGATTTGTTCCATAGCTGAGTTACGGTGGAATTGAAGCTGCGATTGGCGTTCAAACCGTGACACTCATAGTTTCTTGTTGATTGAGCAGCTGAATGTACACAATCAAACTTGAGCCTAATTCTTGGGAACAACCTATAGGCTTTCATTTATTATCTCTTCTTTTCCTTTTTATGTTTGAGAGGTGTAGATTTTCCTTGTGTCAAACTCATTTTTTAACGAAGCAGTATTTTTTTGCATTGTTGTGTCTAATGGTCTTCATTTTGTTTTCATCTGGATGGTCTAAAATAGGTTTGAGCACTTGCAGAATTTCCCATGATTTCCTTTTCCTCGTTTAACCAAATCCTGATGAGTAAAGTGGAGTTGTTGTGCAATTGAATTCATAGGAAAGAAAAAATCAGGGTCTCCTAATAATGGAAATTTGAACTCAAAATCTGATGTTATTGTTATCATTTGACAGTGTCGTTGGATTTAATTTCAGTAGTGTTATCATCAGTTGAGGTATTTTAGGTGACATTTCACTTGTGGAGTGTCTTTTGCCAAAAATTCTTTTTCATTGTCATGCTTGTTTAAGCTTTCTACCCGATCCATGAGCTGTATTTCCATGCA